GCTGGGGAGCCCCCTGGGGACCCGCTGGGACCTCGTGAGGGCGGTATTCTGACCTGGGACCCCTCCCCGCACGCACACTCTTCCACCTCGGCAGGGAAGGGATAAAGGGAAGGGGTGTCCCTTCGGCTTAACTGCGACGTTTCTGTTCCCAGTCCTTCAATATCCTTGGGACTGACGTCGACGACGACGACGACGATGACAGCATCTTCCACACGCAGAGGGGTCGGCAGATGGGGGTATCGCAAGCTCCCGACGTTAACAAAAACAATGGTTTTCAACACCCTGCGCCATTGCGTAGAGGTCCCGCGAAGTCCCGAGCTCCGCAGCGCTTCTTCGCGACGCCTTCGGAGCGCCGATGAAGGCTCGCCGTCGGCACTCCCATCATCGTTTCCGACATTGGCCATCTTTCTTGTTGCTCCGTTGCCGTGAGCTCCGGCTCAAGTGCACCCTGCCGCCACTGCGCCTTCCGTGTTTGCAAGGCTGGCGTCTGCGCCTGATAAGGTGAAGGGGGCCCTCGTCTCCCCCCTGTGCACGCTTGCGACGGCGTGCGCCTGCGCCGTAAAGACCAGCTGGGCGAGCAGTGACTCCTGCATGATTTCGAGGGACTCACGCCTGGTGGATGTTGAGCCCCGGACCTGAGAGCCTCAACGAAGCCTCTACGTTGGCCGAGGCTCCTCGGCGACGGCGAGGATCCTTGTTCATCGCCTGCAACGCGCAGGACAGCGGATGTAGGAGCTGGGTCATCAGCTTTCCTTGAGGATCGTGGTTCGAAGTTTGAAGCCCGAGGAGTTTTTGGACGTTTTGGTCGTTTTGGTTGGCCGTGCAGTGTTCCGAAGGCTTTCATTCCCTTGAGGAGATGGCGCTTCCTCGAGGAACGAGTGGCCCCCCCCCGTGGTGGCCCCCCGTGGCATTGCCTGCGATACCCGCGCCCGCGCGCGGGCGTTGCCGCGTGCTGAAGGAACCGTGGAAGCCGCTGGAGTGCGTGGGCGGCGCCGAGGATCGGGGGAGGCAGGGTACTGACACCGCTGCCCCTCCCCCGTTTTCGCCTTCTTGAGCCCCCTGGGAGAAGCCGCCATGAGAGCATTCGCTCGCTCACGGTCGTGGGCCGTAGGCCCGCGCGCTCGCCGCGCTCTGCTCGGGATTCAACCTCCTTTCGCAGTGATCCCCACCACTACTGCCACCTCCTCCTTCTCATCCTTCTGTGGCTCGGGCGTCGTCGCCACGGTTGAATTCGCCTTTCACTTGTGGTTTGCTTGCGCCCCGGGAAAAAAGGTCCCAAGATCAGCGGTATAGGCTTTCCTGTTTGCCCCCCCGGAGGAGACCCGGCTGGCGCTGCAGCTAGTGGAGGCGCGGTATCGTCGGGTGCGTCCAAGAGCGGGGTGAGGACCAAACAGGGTGAGGTGAATCCAGCTGCCTCTGGAGAGTTCTGCAGCTGCGCCACGGGCCCATGGGCTCGGGGGGAAGGGCCCAGGGCTCCGCGGAAACGGTTTCGGGGCGCCAGGGGGCCCTCGGGAGAGCGTTTCGGGGCCGTTTGGGTTGTCCAGGGGCCATCCCACGCCGTCCTGGGGGGGGGGCTAAAGGTGGTGGTGGTGGTGGTGGTGGTGGTGGTGGTGGATCTCGTGGCCGGGGCCGCGAAATCTTTGCGAGTTCAAGCCCCCCTCTTCCTCTTCCAGCACGTCCCCCGGCCCCCCCTCGTCCGCGCACCCTGTACCTCAGGCCACGATGCGCCCACTTGGGCGTTCGATCGTGGACCCCTTCGTCAAACGCAAACGTTCAGATTTCGCACAGAAAACCGCCACACACCAGCGAAGACCACCCAAGACCGCCGAAGGCCGCCAGAAGGCCGCCGAAAACCGCCAAGCATCGCCCAGGGGGTCCATGGCCGAATACGTCGACGCACCCCCCCTCTTCCGGGCCCCCCCTCGGCACAAGGGCAAGATTCGGCCAGTTGGAGTTCGGCCAGGTTGACCTCGGCCAGGCTGAACTGGGCCCAGGCCGAGTTCAGCCTGGCTCTCGCTCGAAGCATCCTCACACCTGTCAGATGAATGGGGCTCCGCTCAAGATCTCCTCGATGTTCTGGCAGCGAGGCGTCAGACAACACGTAATGGTACAAGCATGCTGATGGCCGCCTCGGGGCGAGCGCAGGAGATAGCGACCTTACACGAGAGGAATCCTGCTCAAGATGTCCATGAGTGCTACTCACAGACGAGGCTCCCGCCCGAGACATCCTCACACTTGGCTGACGAATGTCTCCGAGTTCAGCTGGCCGAGTTCAGCCTGGCTGAGCCTTTCCTGGCCGAGTTCTGTTGCCGCCCTCCTCGGCGCGCCCGGCTGTCGGCGGGAGCGCCGCCCGCTCCCCCGCCTCTTCACCGCGGCCCGCCGCGCGGCGCTGCGAGCCGCGGGCGGGCCGCGGGGGCCTGCGGGCGCGCGGGGCCTGCTCGGCGAGTGGACGGAGGACAGGGCCAGTGTCGATCGATTCGATCCGATCGACTTCGGCGGGCCCGATCCGATTCGGTCTGATGCTCCGGCGATCCAGTGAGGCCCGATGCTCGCATGGCTCTGCTGTGCATCCTGGCGCGTCCGAGCCCGTTCAATTCCGATTCCGTGCCGATGCGGCCCGATCCCACGTGCGCTCTGATCCGACCCGATTTCCCGATCCGATGCGGACGGATCCCGGGAGGAGCACCTCATCCCCTCCTGGCTGGTGGCCGCCGTGGCCCAGTGCCTCGAGGAGGCGCTGGCGGCGCTGGACGTGGACGATGCGGGGCCCTGAGGGTGCAGGGCCGCGGGTGCCCCTGAGGCCGAGGCCCTCGAGGCCTCGTCTGGCGTCCGGCGCCGTCCTTTCGGGTCAGGGGAGGGAGAGGCTGCCGAGACCGCTGCCCCCGCCTCGTTTTTGCCCCTGTGGGCCTCCTCGGAGGCCCTCGTCGCCACCGCTGGATTCGCTTCCAGGTGCTGTTCAGAAGGCAGCCCGAGAGGTCCCGGGAGCAGCCTTCTCGGTGCTTCTTGGATTCTCCAGAGCCTTCGCGGCATGCAGTCCGCCGGTCTTTTTGCACGTGTGCACGGGGATGCCGCAATATTCTTTACCTGGCGCGATGTTGAAGGAGATGGCCAATCCAATCTGACTTTAATCCGCTTAACACGAGATACCCAATACAATCTACCGTGCCAAGGACAAACCATCGTTGTCTCATCATCGTCATCATCATCATCATCATCATCATCAGCAGCAGCAGCAGCAGCATCATCATCATCATCATCATCACCAGAACAGGTTGTCCGTGTCAGTGCGCGACAGGTTGTACGTGACGTACGCGACGCGAGGCTGGCACTACGGGAAGCATACTCCAGATGTTTGCCCATTGCGTCCACACTGCATTCTAGGAGGCGATCCAATCGGTGATGTGGCCTCTTTCGCTTATTCAGCTACGGCCTGATTTACGGTTGGGGCGTTCGTTCAGGAATGTGCTAGGGATGATTCAGACCGTGGAGGATTACTCGTCTGATGAGGGCGGCGGTGATATCCACGACCAAGCGTCCTCTGGCGTTCCACTGGCCTTCAGACCCTGGCTCCCTCGTCTTAGGGGTTCCTTCTCTCATGCCCTCGCCGCTTCACGAGACGGGCCCGCCCGCCCGCCTCTGGGCCCGCCCGCCCGAGAGCACGGGGCGGCGGCGCACGCGGGGAAGACGCGACGCCCAGCACGGGCATTCCACATCTCGTTATAATTCGGAGGACGTCGCAACCTTCCCAGACGTGCAGGTTTAGGACCCACCCCCAGACCAGCCCTGAAAAAGCGGCCCTCCGGAACCCTCCAAGATGGCTCAAGTCAGACCCCAGACATATCAGAATACCCCCCTTTCATGGCAAGATCCGGAGTCATGATTCTGGGCGGAGCAGAACTCAGGAGCGCTCCGGGAGCCCTCGAGGCGGGAGCCCGGGGTGTGGGAAGTGTTGGTGTCGTGACAGTTTGGGAGGCCCGATCGCCAGGCTATTTTTGATCTGGCGGTAACGGGCGTGACTGGGGGGTGAGGGTGGGTGAGGCTGGGTGAGGGGGCCAGCCACGTCGCGGTTCGCAGCGACTCCGTCTGGGAATGCTTAACAATGGCTCATTCCCAGACGGCGCCTGCGCCAATCGTGACGTGACCAGGGGGGGGGAGGGGGTGGCAGGGCTGGTCATGGGCGTTATCACGAATAATAAGAAAACGGGATCCTGGACGACCGAGAGCATGGGCCGGTCAGAAAGCATGACCCGATTGAACATGAGAAGGTTGTGGTTGTGATCGCGGAGCTTTCGGTAGACGGGCTGGCAGCTGCGGTGGCAGCTACACGGGCAACGACACGTATTGTTCTCATCACCCGTGATTCCGTGATGCCAGCAGTTCGAGGTTACGTGGGGACACGTTTCGCCCTTCCGCGCGTTCGCCCACGCGTGCCCATGCTGCCGCCTGGTGTTCGTCGCCCGATCTCTCTGCGGTTCTCGGGATATCCAGGGGAGCGGCCGGGCCCAGGCCATGGTCGGGTGCTGCTAGGCGTGCCCCTGGCCCAAGGTGCCCCCAGGATTTCTAAGGAGCCCCCCACGGCCTCAGAGCACCCCTCACGAGGCCCAGATGGTCCCGACGGGCTCCAACATTGTGCGAAAAGCCGGGGGCACCTTGGGCCAGGGGCACCCTGAGCAACCCCCGACATGGGGGGGGGAGGGCGGGGCTGGAACGGCCGCGGCGCCACGTGCATCCTCCAGGACCGCCGGATCTCAGAGGTCCCCGATCTGTCCCGCTCCGATCTTGTCCCAGTCCTGGCCTCGTCTTAAGGGGGAGGGGGGCGCATGCGCGCGCGGGGCTTCATCTTCGGCCACGCGCGGGGTCCCCAGAGGGGCCAGGAGCCCTCGGGTTCTCCGCGCTGGCCTCCTCGCAGAGCCGCCGAGCGCGCGCGTGCGTCCTGGACGCCCCTTAGCTGTTTGGGGCCTCGCGAGGGCGCACGAGCCGCCTCGCGCGCGCGCTGTGTG